CAAGAAAATGTCACCTACAGGCAGATTTTGTACCACAGTGGATGTACAAACTGGAACTGGAAGGAAGCAAGCTGTGTAAGCTGCAAAACCCGACGTCCTGTGGCACCGACCAATCCTCGGAACAAATCCAAGTGGAACTCACCTATTGGAGTGGTGCATAAATCCTTTATCTGTTTAGGATTTTTTAAAAGTTGTGAGATATTTTTAAGGCAAATGGTTGTGTAAAATCTCCCCTCACACTGTTGGGCACGGAGAGCTAGACTGTGGCTCAGGTGACTGCCCAGCCTGCTGGCTGGCAGTCCTTGCTGCCAGAGAACACGAGGATCTTCCCAAGGATCCGAGGGAAAGGGGTGAGGTTTAGACAAACAGACACCTTCCGTTATAAATACACCTACACATACACTCTTATAGGTTTTTTTTTTTAATCTGGGATCAAGAGTTAGGAAGGCAGGAGCCACTGGCCATCCAAATGGACAACTCTGGCTGCTGTGGGATGGTCACAGGAGGCCAGACTCCGGCTCTCACTCCGGGCTCTCCCCTGCTGGAAGAGGTGCTGTAGGTCAGATTGAGGGATGGACAGCAGGTGATCCTGGGCCCTGTGCAGTCCCTTCCCCAGCCCAGGAGCTCTGCACTCTGTCCTTGCAGTCCAGCCAATCCTGTGGTGCACAGAAGGTTTTTTTCCCTTAAGGCAGCTTTTCCTTTCTCCTCTTTCCCTCCTCCTGCTGTTTGGGTTATTTTGTGAGGTGAATCCGGAGAGGGCTTTGTCATTTCAAACAGAAATACACACACACTCTTTCTCTTTCCACCTTTGCAGTGTTGTGCAAAGGATGCAGTATTACTTCTGACACCGGAACTGTGGTAGAAAATAACCATGTGTGTTTTTTTTTTCCCACCCCACCCAAAGAGATTTAGTCATAGTGTTGGAAATTGAAAGAGATTTTTTTAAGGCTTGGCTGTTACTGAGTCTTTTAGAAGAGAAAAGCTCCCACGTGGTGTTTAGAGGACAGGACAGTATCAGATACTCTCTGTAGCTCTGTTTTCTCAAGCTCTAGACGTGTGTTTCTGATGACCAGTGATCACAAATTCATTGGAAACCCAAACTATTTTTAAAGAAGAGAATTGTATGGTTTTTATCTAGCTCTGGTCAGTTATCCATCTTCTGTAACAGGGGTCTGATATTTGAGCTTGTCACTAAAGTTTCAAGAGAAAAAAAAATCAACAGCCTTGAATTATATTTCCTTTTTTTTTTTTTTTGTTTTGTTTTGGTTGGTTGGGTTTTTTTGTTTTTTAATTATTTTTTTAGCAGTTACGAAAGTAATTTAACAAAAATAAAATCAGAAAGTAGTCTATTGACGTTGTGTACTCGGTAGTCCTGTCCCTGCCTGTAACAGATTTCACTGATGTATTTTTTAATACAGAAAATTATGTGAAAAGTAAAACCTGCCCCTGATTCTGTCTGATCAAAGCCCATCTGTGTCTGTCATTTCTGAGCAAAGGTCCTGCTTTGTCCCTGGCCTGGCATTGCCAGGGGAGATGTTTGGGCCGTACCCCGGCACTCAGGGATGCTCCCGTGGGCTCCATCCTTGTTCCAGGAGCACTGACCTGGCCCTCCCTGTAGTTACAGTGAACAGTGAAATAGCAGGCACAGGGCTTTGGATTGGGATGGTGGATAGAACATTCCAGGGAAAACAAAGTCATTCTGCAGGGCATTAAAGGCCCGAGGTGTGTCTGCTGCACACGGGTGTGCCCAGAGCCTCTGTGTCCGTAGGAGAGGGGGAGCCTCCAGGAATCCCTGTGTTTCCTGGGCATCCCCTCCACAAGTGCAGCTGTTGGGGGCTGCAGCAAACTGCCCCTGGCTGCTCCCTCCTTCCCTGACCCCCTGAATGAGCAAGGGAGCCGTGAGGACACAGGCTGTGGGGAGGGCAGGCTTTCCTCGGGTGGGGATGGTCTGAAAAATAATCCCACAGCTGAGTGTCCCCTTAAGAGACATTAACAGAAACATTCCCATAGAATAAACGTAGGATATTTGTACCTTATGAGTAAAAACACCCTTCCCTTCCTCTGAAGTCTCTCACCATTTCTTGTCTGGGAACACTTTCATTTAGGTTAATTTTTTCCAGGTACTTTGAATGAAAGCTACTTACCTTTCAGATTCTCTCAGCAAGGAAAGTGAAATCACTTTGAGACTCACAGGCTGAAAACAAAGTTGTTTAACGTTGTATGAACTCCTTTTACCTGGTGGCTCTGAGATAAGGAACATTTCAGTGCAGTTTTATGGTAATAATTAACACAAGTAGTTTCACTTTCACTGCTGTTTGGAGGCCCTTTGGCAATGATTGGCCTTGTCCAGGGTCAGCCTGGGCTTTTTTTGCCTCCTGAGTGATTTCTTGTCAGCTCGAATTCATACTGATTACAGAAAAGATTACCTTGAAGGATTAAAATATATTTGTAGATCGTACACACAGGCTCAAAGTTCTGAACACAAACTTCCTTATAATCAACATTTCTGACTCAGTTGTGCTGAGTGCACAACACTGTCTACTGAAATAGTTTTTTAATATGAGAAAAATGCTGCTGTAGTCTCAGTGTGGACAGAGAAGAAGCAAAGATGGGTGTGAGAAAGAAATACCAAAAGCTCCTGCCCTCAGTGTGCCAGCAGGTCCTGCTGGGGGGAGGTGCTCTGGCAAACCTGCCACTCCAGGTTTGGAACCTCCTGGCTTTGGTTCACAAAAGCAGGAAACTGGGGGTGCTTTGAAAACCACAGAATTAAGTGCAAAAGGAAGTTAAATTATCTTAGGAATTGTTCTGCCAAATACTGCTCTAAAAGATGCCCTTGGATTTCTCTGGAATAGTCTCCAGCTCCTCAGAATTTAAATCAGTAGCAAAGTCCCTCGTGCCCCGTGGCCCGGGTGTGCTGTGCAGCAGGAGCTCCCTCTGTGCCACTCCTGTGCCAGGGTCACAGAGGTGACTGAATGTGCAATAAAGTCCTTGGTTTTTTGATAACAGCCTCAGTAGGTCCCCTCAGTCCCCTGAGAAGTAGTTTTGGTGTTGCCTTAACGAACGAACCTGGAACAAATTCAGGTATTGGATGCTTGTGGAGCTCGTAACCCCTGGGTGAGGTTGGAGATTGGCTCCCCTTGGCACAAACAGGTTCCTCCCCAATTTTTCTTCAATGTATCATCCATTTTAAACATTTCAGAGGCAAAATTAAGATATTCTGTCTTTGTAACAAAGAGCTGCTCCCTGGCATTACGGACCCTGAGCATCATCAGCCTTGCAATGCCTGAATGGTTTTGCACAATTGTGTTTGTTACTCAGTTGACTCCAGCTCTTTTTTTTAGGTGGATTTTTTTAAACTAAGGAAGAAATTACTGAGTCTGACCACTGGCACAAACAGTCCCTCTAACTTCATCCCGTGGCACCTGACTGAGCTGTGAGAACTTGCCTTTTTCTCTTGAGTTTCCCCACCACACTCCCGAGACACTTTCCAGGACGTTTCTATTGTGTTGTGCTTTCTGAGGGAACAATTTTGGACATCCCAGGAAGAGCAAGTGGCAGAGGAGCCATTGCAGGGTGCTGAGAAGGTGCTTTGGGCAGGCAGGTAATTGATAGTATGTGGCAAAAAACTCATATAAATATTGAAGTGTCTGGGATTCATAGTTTTATATTCAAAACATTTCACCCTGGAGGTCCTTGGTGCTCAGCCACTGACATCGGTGCTGGCTCTGCTCCAGGGAGTGTTGCACAGTTGTAGAAGGGTTTTTAAAGTCATAAAGTCTCAAAGGAACTCTGGCAGCTTGGATTCTCCTAACCACAGAACTCAAATGTCCATTGGACATCACATTCCCTAAGCTGATGGATTTTCAGCAGAGATTCGGCTTTTGTTAAAGAAACAAAACCTGAGTTACCTGACTGTCACCTGCCAGGAGGGAAAATGGAATTTAGGGTAATGAAACAGTGAAGTTAGACAGAGCATCACACCCCAAATCTCAAAATGCATCCCAAGGGCACGATTTTAATCCTGGCAGATCCGTGTGGACGTGGGTGGGATGAGTCACCCCAGGTTGGTTAACTCTTGGTACTTAGTCAATGAAGGGGCTTGGGCCTGCAAGTCCTGGACTTTTTATCCTCCCTCCTGCATATTTGTAACACAAAAAGCCAGAACTATTTGAAAAGGTCTTTTTGAGCTGCTGGGAGCCAGGCAGCTGCTTTGGAGAGGAGGGTGAGGGTGATGGCCCCTGACCTTTCTCCCTGGCTAAGCCACCCACCCATCACCCAGCCCAGGCTCCAGCATCCACTTCCCTGTTGGATTCACTGGTGTTGGATCAATGATGCCTCACGTCTCATCCCTCCCAATCTGTACCTGGGTTGTACCTCTGTAAATTGGCCAGACTTTCCTACCTCGTTTTGGGCATTATGAGGCAGAATTCCATAGGATGCTTTGCAGCCCCATGATGAAAGGTGCTATATAACTGCAAAGTGTTACTTCAAAAGATGTAACTAGGTCACCATCATAACCTATATTAAAAAGACTTTTTCTTATATAAGAATTTATAGAGTTCAATGTATGGTAATAACAAGTGAATTATTGAGACCCCCAGAACAGTTTTTGTTTCAGTTGTATCTGTACTCTGGAAAAGTGATTAAAAACCTTTAACCTTACTAGAAGAGTGCATCTTCCTTTCCTGTATGATGTTGGAATCTAAGTTTAAAAGCAGAATCTCACAGATTTCGGGCGGGGAGGGCTGAGCTGGTTTTAGTCCAGTGTTACAATTGCAGCTGCAGACCTGCACAGCAACACTTGGTCCTTCCCACGTGGTGTTCTGCAGCTCACACTCAGTCCTGCTCCTCTGGGATGGGCTGTAGGTACAAACCTTCCCCACACCCAGGGCAGGGGAACTGCTGGTTCAGGTCAGTCCTTGGGCCCAAATGTCACCTGTGTTCTCTCACCCTCAAGTGGCACCATCACCCAAGAGCCCCAGTAACACAGAAACACCATCTCTGCTGCAGGCAAAGCAACTTTATTGGCTTCGGGGCACTCATTGCTCAGGGGAATCCAAAGCTTTTGCGAGGGTGGGGTCTGTGGGGACTTCCCATCACGTGCCACGCTGCCTGGCAACTCCTCAGGATCAGCACCTCTCTTGGGTTCTGCATCTGGAGCTGCTCCCTCCTTGGGTTTGTCACCTGGAGTTAACTTTTCTTGGGTTTGTCACTCCGAGTCTTCTTCCTCAAGGGCAGCGAAGCACCGGCTGCTGCCCCGAGTGACCCCAAGGCACTTGTCAGCCCAAGTTTGGCACCAAGAGAGAAACCTGCAGCTCCTGCCAAGACAGATGGAAGAGTGATGTCCCAGCAGCATTGAGGCTGCCTGCTGGGGGACTGGGCAAGGGGCAGGGACAGCCAAGGACTTCTCCAGGGCAGGGGGAGGCTGGAGAGTTCAGAGCAATTCCAACCCGTGACAGCTCAAGGGGCTGGTTTGGCCCTACAGCAAGGCCAGGGTATAACCCCGTGTTCCTGAGGGCAGGAACCCAGTGCAGCCCAGCTGCCCTGCCCTCCCACTCACCGATGGACTGCAGCACAGCCACGGTGCTGCCGGCTGCCCACTCCCCCTCCGTTGGCGATGGCAGCTGCCGACATCATCTTGGCAGCGATGGATCCAGCGGCGATGCCGCCTGCGGTGAACCCCAGCCCAGCAACCACCGCCGGGGCGGCAACCAGTGCCACTCCTGCAGGGAGGACACCACAGCATTAGGGTGCTCTGTGTGCCCCACACCTCCCCCTGCCACCAGAGCCCCAGAACCGGCCTCCCCAAAAGGACCGAGGGGTCAGGGCGGGGAGCGAGGGCTGTGGGGTGCAGGGACAGCCCACCCTGGGCAGGAGAGGAACAGTGGGCAGGGCTGCAGCACTGATTCCAGGCCAGTGCTGCCCCCTCCTCCACAGCAGCACCCCAATTCTCCCCAGCACTCCCAGCCCCAGCCCAGCCCAGTCCCCACACCCAGACGGGGCTGGCACTGGGCAGTGAACCCGAGCACTGCTCAGCCACTGCCAGACCCTCACTCACCTGCTCCAACTGCAGCTCCAAGGGCTTCAGCTATTCCCCATACTAAGAAGGAAAATGACAGGAGGGCAGTAAAGGGGGGGGGGCCCCTTTGTCCCAGACCGATCTCAGTGCCCTGCTGCCAGCAGGGCAGGGGGTGGGAGCGAGCAGCTCCCCCAGGCGCCCCTGCATCAGCTCACCCCCGCGCCCCTGCACATCCCACTGCCCACAAGACACCCTGCCCTGCCCTGCCCCGCCCAATGCATCCCACTGACCCAGAACAGCACAGGACATGGTATATGTCAGCCCAGTGTGTCACCTGTCACCAGCACAAGGTGAATCAAACACATTTTAAACCTAACTCAGTCACCACCTTGCCAGCCCCTCACTGTGCTCCAGCACATCCCCAGCTCTCAAGAAGGCAGCTGAGTCACTGGGGATCTGTGGGGGCTTCCCAGCACCTGCCAGGCTGCCTGGGAGAGACCTTGGGATCAGGCAGCTGCCTGGATTCTCTTGGGTTTGTTACCTGGAATATTGTTATCAGCTGCCCCTCACCCTGAAGACCCCTGGGAACCGACCACTGATGGCACCGACCCCTCTGCCCCCCCCACCCGGGAGGAGAGGGGAGAAGGGACACACTCGGGGTCCCCGTGTTCCCCACGCTGTCCCTCTGCAAGGGCCGTGCCCCCGACCCCACCAGCCACCCAACTTACCCATGGTGGGCTGGGCTGGAGGGGGAGCTGTGCCGGGTGTGCTCTGAGCTGGGACCTTCCTTTTGGGAGCAAGAACAGGAGTTTCTTCGTGGGCGGCGAGCGGGGCTGGAGGGGCTTTGCTGTCCTGCACGAACAGCCCCAGACACACCCCTCCCACCCAGGAGCCCCCGGCCACCCCACAAAAGCAGCAGACCCCAGACCCACATTTCTTCCCAGCCCAGGGCTCTCTGGGTGCTCTGCCAGTCCAGCGGGGTGAGCAGCCCCTCTTTTTTGCCCCCCCCTTCAGATAAGGGGTGCTGTCCCCAAACACCCATCGCGGGACCCCGACCCCCCACACCACCCACCTGTGCCCCGAGGGGCAAAGCGCTGCTGGAAAGGTCCCCCCAGGGGATGTCGGCACAGCCGATTGACGGGGAACCGCTCGCTGCCCTTTGCTCTCTGTGTCAGCGTTACCTTTTGATGCTGCTGGCTCTGCTGGAGTGGGGCTGTTATAAACGCAGCTGGTAATCAAGGATTCTTAGCAGCAAGGCTGTTTATTCGATAAGGAATGAGTAAAGCAGCGCTGGGTGCCAAAGGGAGCCTCAGCTTCACCAGCACACACTTCACAGAGGGCTTTGCAGCCCTTTTATACGTCTGTTCCAGGAAAGTTCCCGCCCAGTTTCGTTTTCTGGGTTGTGACGTCACTTTCGTTTCTCAGACCCATGCTCTTTTATTGGTGGTTTTAGGTGTCCCTCTGGAGTTGAGGGACAAAAGCTCAAGTCTTCCCTTTCTTGTCCTTTGATAACCTCTTTCTTTACACATCCATGTTTACCCGTTACATACATAAGCGGTATATTTTCAAGTCTTATTTGCCTATGGTGATATACGTTTGTCAAAAGCATAATTGCATAAGCATATTTAGCGGTACATTTCCATCGCATATTTGGCAGTTTGAATAAACACTCTTTATTGACACGAATCATCGCACAATTCCTCACACGGGGGTCGGATCGTGGGGCTTCCCCCGCGGGGAACGCTCTCCCCTCTGTCCCCTGGAGGGGACGGGAGGTGCGGGGGCCGGGGAGCTCCTCACCCCTGTGCCTTCCTTGGCAGCTGCGGCTTCACGGGGCGTTTCCCGAGCAGGTTTGGGACCGCTGAAGCCGCGCGGTGTTGATGGGGAGCCCGAGCAGTCTGAGCAGCGCTGGGGACTTCCACCGCCGGGCAGCGGAGCGCAGCCCCTCCGCCTGCCTCCGCGCCACCGGGGCTCCACACAGCGCCTCAAACAGAGCAAAAGCCAAAGCCCCCTTTTGCACCACCACCCCCCGCTCCCTGACCCCTCTCCTGACCCCGAGCCCCCTCAGGACGGGACAGCGCAGCCCCCGGGGCAGCGAAGGGCAGCGGGTGCCGTGGCTCACGCGCCGCTGCAGCTGGTTGAAGGGGACCAAATCCAGTTGCAAGTTGATCTGGTTCCTTTTTACCAGCCCCAGGGACGCATCGTCTCTCCGGAGGCGCCGCCGGGACGGTGCTGGTGATGGGGAATCCTGGCGTGGGGGTCCCAGCCCAAAAATACATACTTCTTAACATTCCATAACGCCGGCCGACTCCATATGGCAATAAAGAAAGTATGTCAGGTTGGGAGGGAGAGGTGGCAGTGCGGCGGCTGGGGTGCCCGCTGCTCCCAGCCGTGCCCACCGGCTCCACTGGGATCCTGGAAGGAGCAGGAAGGATCAAAAGGAAAGCACCTCCTGCCCACTCCCAGACCCAGCCTTGCCCCTGCAGGGCTCCTACAGCCCTGCTGAACCGCAGCCACTCTCAGCCCCGGGCACCGAGATCCATGTTCAGAGAGCGAGGCAGAGCCACGGCCAACGCCTGTGCCTCGGACCCAGAGCCCCTCCCCGGCCAGAGGATGCTCAGGCTGCTGTTTTGGGGGGCAGCTGCCCTTTGAGAGTGGTCAGATGCTCCAGGCTGTGACAGAGTTTGTGGCCCCCGAGCGAGATGCGGCACAGCCACATGGGCCGTGTCCTGTGAGCCCACACAGGCCAGCACGCACGCAAAGGTGGGCACCTGTGCTTGGAGCTAATCCACAGCAGGGCCCCATCGGCCCTGCTCTTGGCTGGCAGGGATCACCCCTGCTGCTGCCACCACTGCTGCTGAGCTGGGTCAGGATGCACCAGCTCACCTTCCCCATCACCCCACACCACCCCAGCACCCCCTAGGACCTCCCACAGCCCACATCCCCCTGTCCATGTGCCAGAGCAGCGGCTGCAGCTCAGTGCAGCTGGGGCCAGTGTTGGGGGAGACCCACCTCCCACAACCCCCCCCCCTTGCCCCGAGGAGGACCTGGGGGTCTGGGCCCTCCCCACCCCCTCCCCACACCACAGCTCTGGGCCGGGGAGGCTGGAGATGCCTCTGCCCACGGGAGGGGATTCAGCTGAGAGCTCAGGGGCTTGAGACCATAATGGGACTGCAGGGAGGCTCCCTGGCCCCAGCACAGTGTGGCCAGGGCAGGGTGACATAGGGACAAGTGTCACCATCACCCAGATGCACCTTCACCCCAGTGACCTTCCTTCTGCTAAATTTGCAGCTGGAGAGGGGCAGGGGCAGGTACAGGGAGTGTCCTGGGGTTCCCAGGGCTGCCCCCTGGCAGGACAGGGGAGCAAGGGGTGCCTGAGGGGCCCAGCCCCGAGCAGGAGGGATGTGGGGCTGGCCCAGCGTGGTGTGGCCGTGACTCAGCGCCGGGAGCTGTGGCCACACACGCCGCAGCTCCTGCAAGGAGCCTGTGGGTGCCAAGTACAGCCTCACGTCACTGGCCCCACTCACAGCACCCACAGGCAGCAGAGGTGTTGCTCAGTGGCCCTCTGAGCCACCAGCTATTGCCACGGGACACAGGGTGGCTGCCAGCGCAGCCGTGGTCCCCCCAGGATGCTCTGCCAGCACCCCAGGACCTTCTACATGGCCAGTCCCCAGGGATCCAGCCCTGGGGGTCCCAGACACGGCTCCCAGGACCCAAGACAAGTCCCCAGTAAAGCAGCAGTGGTGGAGCTGAGTGTATCTGGCTGGACCAGCAGCCCTGTTTCCCCCAAAAGCAAACTGAGGGGTGTCCTGAGGCCGGAGGCTGCAGAGATGCACCCCCTTAACCCTTGGAGCTGTGCCGGCCCTGCAGTGCAGTGGGATGATGCCATAAGGTTTTTCTGTGGAGGTACCGGGTTCCAGGGACTGGTGGGGCTGTTGGGGTGCACTGGGAGGCAAAATCCAGTGGCTGCACCCAGTCCAAATCCCAAAAGCCAGGGCACAGGGTCAGCGCTCCTGCATCCCAGCCCAGTTCAGCTCCAGTCACCTCGGCTGACCTTGGCAGCCTCCCAGGACTTGGTACTAGAGGTACCCCAGCCCGGGGGGGCCACACAGCCCCATCCTGTGGCACAGTTCCCACAGCCCTAGGCCGGGCTCTCCCAGTGACCTTGGAGGGCTGCACCCAGCTCTGCTGGTGCTCTCTGCATCTCGGGCTCCCCATCTCCCCCAGCCCCACCACCCCTCCTTGCCCCTGCCCTGTCCCACAGCCCGGCTCTGCCCCACTGCCCTCTCTGTGGCCAGACATCCCAGTCATCACAAGTCCTTCTGCAGCCTTGGAAGTGCCCCATCACTGCAGGCAGCCCCGAGTCCTCCCCAGCCCCAGCGCTGCCCCTTGAGCGCTGCAGAAATGTCCCCGAGACCGTAATCCACCAGAGAGCAGCCCCTCTCCCCGTCTTCTCTGCCCCCTCTCGTCAGCCGCAGGCCCCGACCTGGGCAGCCCCCGACCTGGGCAGCCCCCGCGTTCTCCACCTGCCCGGGAGCAGCTCCCTGTCCTGGGCAGGGTGGTTTGTGGGCACGGGGGTCTGACGGCCTTGCAGGGGGAGGCAGAGGAGCCGGGGGGCTGCCGGGGCCGGCCGTGGTGGCACCCACGCGCCTGCAGGGACCCAACAACCCCAGCCTGGCTATAAAAGGAAGCGTCTTTTTT